ATATATATATATATATTGTGATATCCTATTATCAACAGTTTAGTTCGATTATTTATCTATGTACATTATATATTAAAAAAAAGATGAAACTTGAGTTTACAATATAATATAAAGTTTCCGAAATAATTCTCGAGTGATACTAATCGAATTAAAAAATGTTCAATAAATCCTTTAATATGTGAAACACGAAAATTGCAGTTAAAGAAGTTATATATAGTCGATGGAATTTTGTGATGCTTGATAGAGAATCGAAGAATACAATAAGAAGGAAAAGAGTGATGAGACAGCGGTGGTGATAAGAGGGGTCTTAACAATCGTCACTGTTCCCCTTGTAAAACAACAAATCTCATCCGTGATAAATAATTATGCGATTCGTTTAAACAAATATACTAAAGTAGAACAAACCTCCGTGCCGTTCTTCGGCTCGGACAAATTATTAAATCAAATGTGTATCGGCACGTGTACCAATAATTCGGCACGGCTGGAAAACACCGCGGCACACATCTCGCACGTATACTCCACCCTGTCCGGTATTATCGTTTCCGGGACATCGTCTACCGACGCAATAACACTATGTATAGCGAGCATCCTCGGCGGCGCAGACTCCACTTTGACACTGAGCTTAACGTTGTTATCTCTTGCCCCGTTGTCCATCTCATGCACGGTATTGTGTGGCAATATGCTCTCCTCCTCGTCTTCTTGAGCAGTAACGACACTCGCCTCGAAAGCTACTTCCAGATTGCTGCCGTCCACTGCATGCTCCATCAGTTGTACCTGATCGTCACTGATCTCTATGATATTGTTATTGTTATTATTATTACGTAATTGTAACTGCTGCTGCTGCTCCTGCTGCTGCTGTTGCTGCTCTTGTTGCTGCTGTTGCTCTTCTGTTACTGTCAACGTATTCAATTCCTGCTTTATTTGCTTCTGCCTCTTGGTCCTCTTAGTAGTAATTGACTTTCTCTTGTTTGATGACTCCTGAATTTTACTAAGAGCTAGAATATTACCATTGTTATTCCTGTGACTGTCACCTGTGGCCTTTTGCATGTGGCCTGACTCCTGCTTGATGTTCGCCAGTAACTGCTGTGTCGATATCGTAGACATACTCTCCTTTGATTTCGTCGAGAACGTTGCCGGTGTGAGCTGCGATTTACCCTCAATGTGATAACTGACATTCTTTGTGCGTGGTCGATTTCGCTCGCCACCCGGAAAAATGCCAGACTTGTGCTCATTCGGCATCACCTTTGGCGTCCGGGTCACCATCGTTTTTGTCTTCTGGCCCTTTTTTGCGCCATCGCTACCCACTTCCACCGGCACCCTCGTCTTCTGTGTGTGTATCATCTTCGGCCGGCCTGACTGATTCGATGTTTGCGTTTCTTGCTTCTTTTCCTCTTTGCGCAACTTCTTCTTTGAGACTTTCGATTTGGATGCATTTAACTTGGAGTTACTCACAATAGAGTTTATATTCTGTAGAGAGCTTTCAAAACTTTTTAATACATTTTGATAGCCTTCCTCAACGTTCGATCGATGTTGTTTGTTCTTCTTGCCAAGTTTCCGCTTCGTGTTGTCTTCCGAATCAGAACCGCCAGTGCCAGTGCCACCGCCACCACCACTGCCAATATTACCACTACCAGTACCGGTAACACCGCTACCGCTACCTTCTATCATGTCGTACGTGAACTCATTTCTACGTATCATTGTATTCGTCTCAAGAGGCTTTGCTTTGCGTCTTCTCTTATATTTGCGCGTTCCAGTCTGTGGTTGGCGTTTCAACGCAGTATTATCGTCGCAATGCTGCACTATATGTGCTACTACCTCTTCGGAAGTGCTGAATGAATCGCCACATACCTTACACAAATACGGTTCTGCACTGCCCACGCATTTTGGATCTGGACCGGAATGATGAGCACGCACGTGTTCTCGGAGAACCACCTGTAGAAAAAACAAATTTTAAATTTCATTTTAAGTTAATAATCAAAACAAAAATGTATAATTTTTAGAACAGTTTAATTATCTCATGCTTTAAAATTGTATTAAACAACTATATATATATATATAT